AGTGGCACGTTGGTTAAGAGCTGGCTTGGGGTGCCAGCTCTGAGCAGCAGGGCCCCGGTTCAGATCCCACATGAGGGCCAGTGACGCTGCCCTCTACAGCTAAGATGGTGAACAACAGCTTGACCTGGAGCTGGGCTGCCGTGAGTCCCGGGTGATGGTGTAGGCTGCAGCCCTGCTGCAGTGGGCTACCATAAGCTACCGTGTGTGGCCGGCAGCTGGTGTGAACGGCCAGCAGCTGGTGTGAGCTGCCAAGAGCCACTGTGAGCGACCGTCCAGAGGCTGGCGACCGATCTGCCTCAGCTGGGAAGAGCGCAATGATAATACCAACATGGGCCAGTGAAGCAACGTCCTCCACAACTAGACTGAAGAACAAAAGGACAGCAACTTGTCTGTTCCCCTTCCCCCAATTCCCCAATAAAATCTTAAAAAAAAGGGGAACTATTTAGAGAACACCAGTTTGAAGGAGTACCAAATTAGTATTCTACTGGGGCATCCCCAGTGTTTCCACTGGCCGGGCCGGTCGTGCGTGGGGAAGAGCTGCATGGCTGCTCTGCATCTGCGGAATCCTGTATCTTGGTGTGAAGAGGGAAATACGGCCAATGCTCATCTGCTCTGGTGGTGGCTGAGTCTTCTGGACGCTGACATCACTTGTTAGCTGGCAACTCCCCTGCCCATCCCACCGCATCGTTCCCTATGCTTTTCACTGTCTCTTAAGAGTCCCTCTTCCAACCACTCCTAGGATGCTGTAGTATTTCCACCCAGGCCTGCATACTCTCTGATTTTTTTTCTCCACTGGAAACTCTTCCACGCTCTTTGAAAAACCCCTTGGAAACCAGCCCAAGGGAAGTTTGGGGGTAGATTGGTTATAAAGAGATGCAAAGAGGACACTGGAGAAGTATTGACTAAGTCAGCTGCCCTGAGGGATGAATCACTGCCAAGACCAGCTCTGCCTTCCCTTGTGGGGCAACAATTATGGACAGGGGCGGGCAGGTAGAGGAGATCTATGGTCCTGCTTCCTGGGCTGCTCTGCAACCAAAGTACTTCACACAGAAGACTGGAAAGGAGAAGTTTCTGAAATATTCATGAGCAATAAGGAAGCGATGAGGATCGATGGTACTGTCCTCTTTCTCGCTCTTCCTCTAATAACTCTCCCATAAATTTCCCATCCTCATGTATTTTTGAGACAAAAAGTTTCTGACGCAGACAACTTAGTATCCTTGAGTTACTGGCAAGGAATAGGGAAGCCAAGTGGTAATGTCTAGAGATGGGAGACTAGAGAGTAACCTGGTGAAGCATGGTGCCCAGGTTATCAGGCGCCTTCCAGTGCCTCATCATAAGGCTACCTTAGAGCATCTCACAGACTGGGAGTCAGAAGAGCACTTCAGCTATTACTAAGCTCCTGTGCGAACACGGGTAAGGGAATCAACACAGAGTATGTACTTAGGTACCAGCCGAGGCAATTTACAAATATTAAATAATTTGGTAAACCATTGAACATCTCAGATACTCAGTTTTCCCCAATGAAAAAAATAAATGAAGAGGTTAACTTAGCTAATCTATAAAGTCCCCTCCATTTCTGACATTCTGTGATTCTGTGGTCCTACAATCACAGAAACTAGCCCTGGTGGAACCATCGTGTCGCCCGGCCTCCATCGGCTCTTGGCTGTCAGCACTGGTGCACATTAGCAACGACTTCCTGATCTGTGACAATGTCTTTTATGTGGGTTGTCTCTCCCCACTAGATCAGAGACTTTGTCTTCACCTCCTGTGGTCCTCCTCCCAACTCAGTGCCTTAGGGCAAGACCTTAGAAAGGGTTGTAGACTGTCAGCAGAAACTGGGATCCTGGATGGCTGCTGAATCATATTCCCTGGGCTCCAGCCCCCCACGTCTGTTTCCCTCCCCAGATGCTCATTATCCACAACTATTCCCACCCAAACCTTTGGGTTCTAAAAAGTTACAGCACACTAGCAGTGACTTTCTCTCTCACCAAGGACTAAGTCAGGTAGGCTCCTCTTCAGTTCTTGCCCTGGCTCCCCTACTTTCCCACCGTTCGAAGTACTCACCTCCGAGAGTGCGATGTCAGCTCTAAGCTCCCAGCTCTTCACGTTGTCAACACTCTAGCTGCTGCCACTTCTCATCAAGAAAATAAGTTTCTGCTTCAGTTCCGTATTCAGGTTTTCTGTCATTTCCTGCCACCGTGTCCTCACAGTTTACTTCCTGAAGTTTGAGTCAGTTCCTTCTGCTTAGGCACTTAAGTAAAAAAGGATTAAATGCTTCTATGCCTAGTCTTTTTGCAAAGCCCTGAGGGACATGGGGAAGTAAAAAAAAAAAATGCTGCTTTTACTCTGAGTTTATAGTCTGGTCAGGGAAGCAAAACATTCAACCAGAAAACATAACAAAATTCTGTAGGAACAGCATTTGTCTAAAGAGGTAGACAATTGCATCATAATGTTATAAAAAAAGGAATGTAGGCAGTTTGGTATGGGATGAATTAAGCAAGAAAGGCTTAATGGGGAAAATGATTCCTATGTGGATCTTGCAAGACTTAAAATCATTTTTACATTACCCACAGCACTTAAAACTGAGGTTTGCATATTATAGGTGTTCAAATAAATATTTATCAATTGAAATTATGGAAGGGAATAAATTGCAGTAGAAAGGCAAAACATGGAAGGAGAAAGTTTCAGAGATTGTTCAGAGGACAATGAGGAGTCTGAGCTAACTGGTAGAAAGACTTGGTTCCTGATAGTAGGAAGATGTCTGAGAGAACTAGGCGGTACCAGATGATGGAAGGTCTTTGTGGTATTCTGTATTACTGTTCATCAAGATTTGGTGCTCCTCCCTTCCTTCTTAAAGTCAGATTTGCTCGGGTGATTTGTTTTGGCAAATGAAATGTGAATAATGAAATACATCACTTCCTGGTGGAGACTTTTAAAGACCAGAACAAGCTTGGCCATCCTTTAGCCCAGTGCCCACCATCTGCAATTCTCCAAAGTGGGTCCATTTTCAGTTGGGGAACAAGAGACCCCAGCTGAGAATGACATGTCATCTATTGTGTGAGGGACTTGGAGTCTGACTAGAAAACAATCCTTTGTTGTTTTACCTATGGAGAACTTGGGGGTGTTTGTCACTGTATCTGACCTAATTGTCCTGCTGTTGATTGACATGGAGTTCTGACCTGATTTGCTCAGCTGTGAGCTCCCAATGGATTCAAGCAGAGACTGAATGAAATTGGTCCAAGATACAGAGAAACGGGTTTCTGCGTTAGAAATACGCTAACTTGAAGGACCTGAGTCACTTCCAAATCTGAGTCTATGCCTGGGGGAAGGAAGCTTTATTTATTGATCCCTCCCACTTCATGTCCTATTTATTGTGGCAGTCCTGAAATTATTTTGTGGAAAATTTGTATAAGGGGAAAAATGTCTTTTAGATCATTTCGAATCCTAATTCAGTTATGAAAATAAGAACAGCCAGATCAGATGTTGTGACACACCATCCAGGTACAATTCTTTAGAGAAACCTTAGCATTTAATTAGAGATGACACTAAGAAACCTCACGTCTCCTTAGGCAAACGTCCCAAGTTCATTCCCAATGGGAGGCAGTGAGCCGTAACACAAAGAAATAGCATGGGCTTTGAAGCCAGGTATGCGCGGGTCAATTCACTAATTGTGCCCTGAACAAGTGAGTTCACTTTTCTCAGTGACTTAATATAAAAACATAATAATGCCTGCATATCCTGCTGTAGCTTAGACCTTACTTCCCCACTCCCACCTAGAGGGATCCTAGGGGCCTAATGTTTTCAGTACGCACCAGATGAGCTCTCCCAGGCCCGGGAACAAGCCTGCAGGAATCTCGTGCCCTAAGGCCCAGCTTGTTTGGTTCAGTATTCAGTTGAAATTTCCTCACGCCACTTTATCACCCCTGGGTCTAGCAGCTAAGCTAGAAGGGCGAATGCAGCCATTACTGGTGTTGGCCAGTGAGAAGGAAGCCTGAACATGTAGTTTCCCGCCCCTGTATCTGTTCCTAGCTATCCCATCCCTACATCCCCTATCTACCTTCTTCCCCTCAGCATGAAAACACATGTATGTAAGCACCCGTGTATACATATGCACACATGCATACACCGCAATTTTTCATTCTGAAAATAATTTATTTTACAGTTATTCAGGAAAGTTCCTGGGTTGCTGTGACCAAGATTTGGTCAGCCCAGAACAAAGGGTTCGAGCAGATCAGTCAGTTCACCAGTTTTCACTCTTCTTTGGGTGGTGAGAGCAGGCAGTGAAGACATCATGTGCATCATGAGAAAACAGCCAACGGGTAAGGACCGACGGGGAGGGGAGGCAGGGAATAGGCACAAATGGAATTTGATCCTGCTGTCATTCTCAGGCCGAGATTTAAATCTGTCTTTTCTATAGTCTCCCTCCATTTTTCTCAGCTGTTACCACAGAGGGCAGATGAGTATGGGGCTGAGAAAGCGGAATAACTGTCACCAACAGCAAATAGCTCAGTACTTCGAGAGGCTAGGAGTGGTCCTCAGAGCAGTCAGACCTACCTGGCTGGGAGTCAGTGCTTCCCCTAGGACTGGCTCGTAGTGTGCTTAGGGCCCACGTTCGCGGCATATCCAGGTAACACTGAATGACAAGAACCTGAATCCCACTGTCTATAGCCAGTTCTTCCTGTCTTTCACTGAAAGGCAAGGCATGGGCCACTCAGGACCTTAGTATACATGTGACCAAGGGCATAAGCAATGGGATCCTATCCTTACAGTCTAGGACCACAAATCTCACTCCAATTAGATCTGCACAGCCAGGGAAGGAGATGCTGTCGTCCCCTGTGATCTAACAGCTCAACACCCTGGGGAGTTCTTCAGCTCCCACCCTATTCCGCAGGACAGCTAATTAGATATGCTATGAGATAATGTTCCCCAGAATTTTATTTATGGCGGGTCCACCTTCCCCCTGAAGGAGAAAATATAAGGTAAACAAAGCAAAGTATCAATTAAAATGATACTGGACTTCAGATTATTAGGTTTATTGAAACCGCCATCCAGGCTGAAAAACATGCCTCTGCATCTTTCAGGACCACAAGAGATCAGGGCCCTGCAAAATCTGAACAAATCTTGAGTTCAACAACCAACCGTGAGGCCTCCTCAGATTATGCAAAAGTGTTCCGGTGCTGGGCAGTAGAAGAAAGCAGACTTGCTGGTCCTTGCAGTGCTAACCTGTGCTCACATCCACATCTGTTTTGCAGGCACTTTCTGTGTAGACTTGGAGAGAGGACCTATAAGTGGGAAGACTATTGCGTTGGAATTGATGGTTTTGACTTCAGAGGTGAGAGAATTCCAAGTTCTGAGAGGAGTGGTCCAAAAGGTAAGAACTAAGTTTATAGATGGCCTGTGAAACATAGAATGAGTAGGACATGAACCATTAGAAAGTAGACGGCCGCTAGCAGTGGCACTCGGGTCCGGGAATGACAGAGTGAACGCAGTACCCGCTTCCATCCAGCACCACTCCGTGGCTGAAAGAAAAGTTTGAAAGTCAGAGGGTTTTATGCTGTAGGGATATGTCCCTTTTCCTTTCCCTATCACTGCAGAAAAGAGGTATCCCGAAAGTCCCCCCAGGGTCAACAACTTGGCAAATTCTACCAGTTCCCTCCAATCTTCCATATCCTTGCAGTCTTAGCCCCATCAGCTGCTCAGTGTCTGGACTTCCACTTTCCTTGACCCCTTGCCTCAACACAGCTGGCCCTGTTGGGTAGTGTAATATACCGTGGTTGCCAAAAAATTGTATACAAGTGGACACTTTGGTCAACGTTGCTTAGCAGTAGTTTGCTGTAATCAGACGTGTCTGGACGCTGATGGGAACCACTTTGGGCACCTCTTGTAATTGCGGAAGTCAAACGTGACATGTATTCATCTTTTGTTATCGGTATATATTGAATATTACAATGTTTACAGTTTTTTCCTTTCTTAAAATGTGTATACGTTTTCTTGGCACCCTCTGTAGTTCCCTCTCTTTGTCCTTCTTCCCTTCTTACCCTTCGACAACTGTTGCCTGGAAGGTCTATTAGCAGTGCCTGCTCCTGAGTGCCACAGGAGCCAATGATAGGAGTCCGGGCGGAGTCCCAGTCACCGTGCTCCAACCTGTGTTGAGAAAAAGAGAGGCAGGGCATTGGTCAGAGCACGAGAAGTGGGGCAGGTGAAGTCTTTCCAGTCATCTTGCCATGTGACAAGGCACAGGGATTTGCAGCAAAGGCTGCTCTCACATCCATCTCTGTCCTCATGCAAGGAGTGTACAGACAGACAGGTTTCTCTCAGGAGCAGTAATAGGTGATAAACACTACCAGGAATTGACCAACTGCCTACTATCTATCAGATGCAGGACTGGGTGCTTTACATTCATCTGATCTTTAGATTTGAAGTTGGTATTATCTTCAAAGTAAGGCCTGAAGAGGTAAATTATTTGCCCATGGTGGCACAGCCAGTAAGAGGTAGGGCCAGAATTCAAAACCCATGCTTGTCTCTATACATCATGTTCGTTTTTTCCACTACACCACACCTGACTCAGAGAAACTCAATATTTTCTTTTTTCATTTATTAAAGGCTAATAGGCAAAAGCATCCAAGAACTAAACTGAACTGGCAGCCTCAACTGTTTTCTGTATTTTTTTTGCTGATTTGCTTATTTATTTAATTATGGAACTTTGCCATTTAATGAAGAAGCTGGCTTTACCCATTCAATGGTTTCTTACAAACACAAGAATTGTATCGAAAGGGCCGCAGGTAACACAGCACATCTGATCCAGCATTTGTCTATAGGGATGCACTTTTTAATTGTGGAGGGGAGAATGGAACTCTTTACTCTTGATGTTTCCTCCATACGAAGAGATATTCATTAGCATAATAGTCCTGGATTCTCTTTGCAGGTCACACCCTTTTATCCAGGAGAGAAGAAGTACTTTAATCTGATTTGTGAGTCTGGAAAGAGAACACTGGAAAGCACAGCCTAGGTCCATCCTGCCTGTTTTCCTCTTGAGAGCCAGGCTGACAGTAGAGTATACTTTCTGTGCCTGTTCCTCCATATGATAAGCATTTTGGGGGCAGGCTCCATCTGGAACAGCATGGTCTGGTCCTATGTCGGTCAGTCTGTCCACTTCTGTAGGCTAGGCTGAGAAAGGGTGAGACAATTGTAGGTCTCCAAGTCTACAGAGTTCTGCACTTACCACAGTATGAATGCAGGTGAACTTCTAACACTAAAATGGCAGTGCCGGGCCTGGGCGGGCAGCACTGGCTTAGCTACCTCAATATGCATCCTGCGTCAGGGTCAAAGAGGGAACTGTGGAGGGGCTAAGCACGGATTAGTGTGCCTTGACCACATATGAGAGAGTCAACCCACACTGTGCAGACTCACGTTGGCTTGGGGAAGGCTAATTACATGTGAGGGTGAGATCTCCCCCAAATGGAGGGCTTTCTTAGGTCTAACCTGGTCCACATCAAGTGCAGAGAAACAGCCATGGGCACACAGGCTAGGGGACGCTCAGCAGACATAAGAGTCAGTATCCCTACAGAGCCCACCTTCAAGGCTGCACACCAAGACCCCAGTGAGTGAGGAAAACTAAGAAGTTGTGAATATACTGGATGGGAAAGGAAGGTATCTCAAATAAGACCTGCTCACTGCAGCTGCCACCTCTGCCACCAAAAGTTTACAAGAAAGCATTGATACCACAAGTGCCATCCTCTGAGGGAAGAGGCAATGTACGTAGGTGGTTCCCCCCACCCAGACATAATAAAGGTGCCTGCTTTTGATGTTTCTTTCCATGGAAAGGGACATCCAGCAGCAAAACATATGTAGCCACTCTCTCCTCTCTCAGGCACAGTGAGTCTCTTGACTGGTGAGTTGAGAATAAGGAACTGGGGCTCTATAGCTCTGTCCTTCCAAATCACACTTCGACCAATCATCCCATAGAAAGCACAATTTGCTCTAATGCTGTAATTTTACAAGAGCGGGTTCTTCTCCAAGGGAAGCCTACCCTTGCCCAACATTGCCTGTGACCAAGAAGGGAAGTTCAGGATTAGGAAGTGCATTTGCTAACAAATCAGAAGCTAGATTCTTTTATAACAGCTTTATAACGTGATCCCTTAATCTCCCATGCTTTAATCTTTTACAGAAATGTCCACTGATTCAGATCTTAGATAGGAAATGGGGTTGACATTTATTTGGCCCTCTAAAGAATCCTACATCTTCCTCATATAGTTATTGTTGGGATAGGAAACATAGCTTATTTCATCCCACATGAAACAAGCTGTCCATAAATATTACGAATTATTATTATTCTCTCAGAACAACTGCTTTGTCAAAGTGCAGGTCTCCCACACTTCACAAGTAGTGTTTTCTTGAGTGACTATAACAACCCTAAACTCACTGCAGTACCCATCTCAAGAAGAGAATCAATCCTCATTATTCTCAAGTCTGGCCACTGAAATGTACACAGGTGTGATCAGAAAGGACCTGAAGTGAACACAGGCTGCCCCCCTCGGCCCTCACCGCTGGATCTGCTCCTCGGCCACGGAGAGGGCAGTCTCAGCAGCCACTCTTTGGTCTCGTTCTTCTTCCAGCAGCTTCCTCAACTCGTTCACCTCCTGTTTAGTGTTGCACAGCTGCTGCTGGGCTTCCGAAAAGCTTCAGGACCAAAGGAAAACAAACAGCGTCACTAGATGCAGGACACAGCTGCCGTTACAAGGGTTCCCCGTCTTCATAAGGTTGTACCGCAGGAAAATTTAGGGAAGCTTGTACACACACAAAGTACTTTAAAAGCAAAGCTGTAAAGTGATTAAATGAAGCTGTAGAAAATGTCTGAAAAGCTTTTAGGGACCGAAGGAATGTTGTTCACTTGAATACCAGAGGATTAGGGCTATGGGTTTGTGTGTGTGTATGCTGTCTCTGCTGTTTTAGCTTTACAAACTTTTCACACTCAGTTTGTTACTTATAATTGTTACCATTTAATCCTCCCACCAGTTCTGTGAGGCCAGTAAGATAATAAGGCATATTAGGTCCACACAGTGGACTGCAGCTGAATCTAGATGACTGCCCCATTTCTGTATATGGTGCAAGCTCCCCGGTTGAGGGCTGCGCCCCTACCTTCGTTGTGGCTGCCTGAGTTCTTCAGGATCAGGCTTCCTGTGAGCTCCATTCTTTTCCTGGGGAGCCCCTGGAGCAACATCTATATTCAGTGGCCCCTAAAAGAAGAATAAACTTAGCATTATTCTTCTTCAGTGATGAAAGTTCTTAAGAAACTGAGTGTGGGCAAAAGGCGAACTCGCTCAACATCAAAGAGAATGAGAAATCTTGGAGAGGGATACCTCCAGTTATAATTCTCTTCAAGCACAGATTTAGGAGTGAGAATCTTCTGCTCTCATCAATTAATCTCCTATATAAAACTCTTGATTACATTTTATTCCAGATTCTCATTCTTTAATCTCTCCTCTTCAAAGTTTAAAGGCTTACCACTGAAATCTGCTTTCTTTTAGTGCAGGTGCACGGATTTTCCAGAAGCTACTCTGATCCTTCCTTTGCTCAATCCTCCCACCCCCAAACCCGTACTCTTCCTTCTATGTCCTGTTTCTCTCCCTGTTCATTCCCAGTCTCCTCCAACTTCAACAGCGCACTCTTCTCCGCGGCCATCAACAGCTCTGCCTGTTTTGTTTCTCAGGTCCAAATCTCACCATGGCTTGCCTTTCTGAAAGCAAACATCAAAACTTTCCTAGTTTAGAGCTCTGAGCAACAGCGGCTCGATTCCCAGCCCGAGCTGAGCAGCCGCTGAGCTGCCAACAGGTGGCAGGATGGCTCAGCTTAAAAAAAAAAACCAAAAAAACTTTCCTAGTTTAAGAATTCCAAAAGCCTCAATCATCACTGCTTTCCACTCGCCTTTTGATTTCTCTCCCATCGGCTTGCCAATCTTTTTTCTTCTAATCCCTTCTTTAATTTTTCCCAGACCTTATTCCCACGTCAACGAAGTCTCCTCTCTTCTCTCACCTTCTCCCATCACACCTAATTAATCTTCAGCCTGAACACATTGGCCTCTTCAGTGCTGCTCTTTATGCTTTCTCATTTCTACTCAGTTTCCTCTTACTCACCACTTGCAGCTCTTGAACCTGCTTCTCCAAGGCTGCACAGTGATTAAAAAGGTCACTGTAGTGCTGCTGGTTCTCACGAAGGCTCTGACTGGTATCGCAGAGCTGAACGGAAAGGGTGTTTTTCTCTTCGAGCAGCTGAGAAAACTGAAATAGAGGATAGGATAAGCACCACCCCACAGGACTGTTTCACTATAAGCAGTGCTTAGGCTAACTGTCCTGAGTTTGAAGGATCTCTTTTTTTTTTTTTTTTTTTTTTATGCAAGGCCTTTATTTCAGTAACAGCACTGTGTATTCCTTCAAAGTGAGAAAACTCAGAATTTTTTGACCAGGAAAGGAAAACAATTTGGGGGAGGTAGCAGGAAACTTTATTTATGATGTCCTAGTATGCTAACTGAAAAACCGGGAAGCAGAAGTCCACAGGTGACCTAAGAGGATAGGCGATCCCAGGGATGTGGGAGAAGGACAGTAGCTTGGGTCCAAGCTGAAGTTACTAACAAATTACTATAATCCCCAGAGCTCTAGACGGCTGGAGATAGAGCTGTCACCAAAAAATTCAGACAATAACATTACTGGGCATATTCTTCAATGCTGTAAAGAGTTACAAGTTACCAAGAAAGTAGAAAGAAATTATAGCATGTGGTAGGAGGGGGAAACAATATATCCTAATATGCTTATGTACACGTAAGAAAATACATTGGGAATAGGGCTCTCACAGGTAGACATTTCAGTCACTCAAAGCAGGACTCTCCTGTGCTGTGTGAGTTACAGGTCTTTCCTTGAATGTGTCCAGTGTCGGGGGGGGGGGGNGCTCACTACCTGACAAAGCAGCCCAAGCCACTTTTCATCATGTCAGAAACAGAAAATTATTTTTTATATCGAATGAAAAATTTATCCTTTAGCTTCTATTCAGTGATTTGAATTCAGTCCCTTGGAACTATAATTCTAATTCCTGAACTCACTTGCAGGCTGTCAACTTTTAAGTTTAGTTATGATTAACATCCAGGTACATGAATAACCACAGAGATGTCTCTACTAAGTACCCACTGTAGGACTATGTACATTACATGAAAGGACACTGCTGTACCTGGCTGTATGTTCAATCTTTTCCTGAGTATTCCTTCCTGTAAGTATTCTGGGTTAATGCTTGTGTAAAAAAGCTGAACCAATTTTCAGAGAAGAAAAGAGAACACTTTTCTAGAGGTACTCTGGCTGCCTGGGAAGGACATTTCATGGAAAATTAGAACAGAAAATCCACATGGTGTAACAAAAACATCTGCATAGCCAGAATGAAAAATACAATCTTACCTGTTAAGAGGTGAGTTTACAAAGCACATTCAAAAGTATTACTTTCTTTGAAAGAGAGAGAGGAAGGATTTCTGTCCCCTAAGAAAGACATAGATCCCTGCAATAGTTTGGGGGGGGGGGTCAACTATGACCCAGGGCCTACTGCTTTTTGTAAATTAGTTTATCTTGGGACATAACCACCCCATTTGTTTATGTATTATGTATGGCTGCTTTTGTGCTACCTCTGCTCCAGCTCATAAGGTAATGTATTTCATCATATTTATACTGTGAGAATGGAATAGGAGGGAACAATTCAGACTACATTATACCAATAATCATTCCTCTCAGGTTTTCAAGTTTGCATTATATACAAACATCTAACCGTGTTGGTACAAATGCATATGAAGTCTGAGCTTCCACGGAAAGAATCAGGGCAGTGGCTCGGAATAGAGCCATTTTATGCTGACAGCCCATCTGCTACAATCACATCTGAAAGCCTCCCTCCTCTCTCCGGAGACTCTTCCCAGTTGTGCACTAGGGGGAAGTACAGAGGAACCTGCTGGAGGACGTGTGGGGGACAGGCCTCAGTATTACTAACAAGTGAAACCGATAGGGAGACGATGCTAGAGAGGAAGGTTTCCTGGAGCAGCTGGATTTTGAACTCTCACTGAATGGATTTCTCCAAATCATTCCCAAGGGCTCTCCAAGGGCGAGAAAAAGAAGGAACTGTCCCCGTGTTCAGTGCTTGGGGTGCGCAATCCCAGGCTCTGAGAAAGGTGAAATGTCTGCACTCTAGGATATGCTACAGCTGGCGCCTGGGCTTCCTCAGCTTCTACTTACCTTGCTGCTTCCCGTCATGGAAACAAGAATCGAATACCAGTCTAGTAGGAAAACACTTACCTTGCTGTTTAGTTGCTGAATTCTTAATTCCTTTTGGTGAATTTCCTTTAAGCTGTCATTCAGCTGAGTCCTCAGAACTTCTGTTTCATAAGACAGGTTTTGTGACCCATCGAGAGAAGCTGATGTCTCTGGGGATGCCTGCCAGGATACAAACACTCATGAAATTCTCTACTAGGATTGTTCATACATAATTCCTGTCCACCTCATAGAAAGTCATAAGAAGGCATGTCCAATAGTAACAGATAGATATTTAGCTTGTAGGAAGCTGGTGCTTCTTAGGTAGCGGTTACCTCTGAGTAGAAATCGGCATTGAAATTGCTCACCTGTCTTTGGTACTGTCCTTTGAGGGTCTCAGTCTGGGAGGAAGATCTCAATTCCCTCATAAGATTCTGCAGATGACTGATCTGCTGATCTTTATCTGAGAGAGCCACAAGGTACTGCTCCTTCAGTCTCCTCTCGTGAATTTCCCAGGAACCCTTCTCCATCCTAGAAAAAACATGCAAGAATCACAAGCAAAAGTATACTTGTGAGGCAAAGATGAATAATTCCATATTCAAAACAGCTCACGGGCTGTAGAGATGTAGTAAAGAAAACATACAAAGTGAAATTTATATTATAAACAATACTGTGCAGCCTGATGATGGAGTGGAACTAATAAAAGAATTTCAACATCACTAATCATCAGAGAAATGCAAATCAAAACCGTAAAGAGATACTACCTCACACTAGTCAGAGTGGCTTTTATCAAAAAGTCAATGATTAACAAGTGTTCGCTAGGATGTGGAGAAAAGGAAACCCTCATGCACTGTAGGTGGGACGACAAATTGGTACAGCCACTATGGAAAATAGTACGGAGATTTCTCAAAAAATTAAAAATAGATCCACTATCAGGCCCAGCAATTTCACTTCTGGGTATTTATCCAAAAAAACCAAAAACACTAATTTGAAAATATATATGAACCATGTTCATTGCAGCATTATTTACAACAGCCAAGATATGGAAGCCACCTAAGTGTCCATAAAAAGATGAACAGATAAAGAAGATGTGGTACATATTTATAATGGAATACTACTCAAGCCATAAACAAGATGAAATCTTGCCCTTTGCAACATGGATGGACCTAGAGGGTATTATGGTAAGCAAAATAAGTCAGACAGAAAAAGACAAATACTGTATGGTTTCACTTACATGTGTAATCTAAAAAAAAAACCAACAAACTAAAACAAAAAACAAATGAACAAAACAGCAAAAAGAGACTCATAGAAACAGAGATCCAACTGATGGTTGCCAGAGGGGAGGAAGAGTGGAGGGATGAGTGAAAAAGGCGAAGGGGAATATAATCAATAATATTGTGATAAGTTTGCATGGTGAGAGATGATTACTAGACTTAGTGTGATGATCACATTGTAAGGTACATAAATGTCAAATCACTATACTGTACACCTGAAAGTATAATAGTATAATATTGTATACCAATGATATTTAAAACAAAACAAGTATTTGGTGTTAGAAATCAGGGTAGTGGTTATTCTTTGGGTAAATAGTGACTGGGAAGGGGCATGAAGGGTTGTTTCTGAAGTATTAATGTTTCTTTTGAATTTTAATTTTATATTTTTTCAGCTTTATTGAAGTGTAATTAACAAATAGTGTTAATAATGTTCTTGATGTGGGCTCATTATATAGGGTGTTCAATTTATGAAAGGTTATCAAGCTGTACACTTAAGATTTGTACAATGTTTTATATGTGTGTTATACTTCAATAAAAAGTTTGCTTTAAAAGTACAAAAAAAAGAAAAAAAATTCAACTGGAAGGATGGGGTAGATTTCGGAAAAGTAGGCTTTTGGTCTGAACCCTGAAAAATGAGTCAGATTTCCATAATGGGAAAAGCATTCCAGGTTCAGGGAACAAACTGAGTAAAAGGCACAAGAATGAATAAATATAACGAATTTTAGAACTGTTGTAGTAGGTGGTGCGTAGATTGAACAGGGTAGGAAATAGAGAGAAAGGAGGACAGATCGTGTGGGGCACTGAACAGCACACTAAATAAAGCTTACTCTGTAAGCAACAGGAAACCACTGCAACTCTTCAGAAAGGCAGTGCCATCCATGATGAATATAATAGCAGGGCTATGAGCATGTAGCTGTAGAGTCTGAAGGACCTGGGTTCAAACACTGGCTCTGTGACGCACTCTGAGTCAACGCTGCTTAATCTCCCTGAGCCTTATTGGTAAAATAGGAATAAACTCTACTCCTTGAGATTCTTGTGAGGATTAAATGAGATACTACATGTCATGAACCAAACACAGAGCCTGGCAAATCGTAACCACTCAATAAATATTAGCTGCTGATATTTCTAATTATTTATTTATTCCCTGAATTTGACCAAAAGGCAGGCTTGTGTGTGACTGGCCCCAGCTAATTTTTTTAGTGATAACAAAAACTGCCTCTGCCATATTCTTTACTTCTACTTCTCCCTATACAATGCCTGAAAAAAAAAACCCGTTAGGATCGAAAGCAACTTTCTACAGTATCTCTTCGTCTTCTGTAGTACCAATGTCTCTATTTTTTTCAATAATAGAAGGTTTTGTTTGAACTGCACCTGACTTTTTTGTCTTTCTCTCCAGCAATAAGGTAATTTTTTAATTGATATATACCTGTTATGAAGTAATCCTGTTTGGCTAAGAGGTAACTTGGATTACAGTTAAAATTTTTTCAAAAAGCCAGGACTAAAATTTACAAACTAAAATAAATTTTTATTATAAGGACACTATATGCAAAAGATGTTTTTGTTCTCTAGAAATACAAATTTTTGTTCTCTGGGGATACAAATATGCCGAACAAAATTTCTAAAACACTTTCCCTGATGTTTGTCTGTAGAAAGTGAGAAAGAACAAGAAAGGAGTGTAAGAGTGAGAATGCATGAGAAAGATCAAAGTCTTCCATTAAAACGCGTCAAGTTGCCATTATTTTAGAAGGATGGACAAGTGGTTATGGTATGCAAAGAGCCTCAATAGAGAATGAGGGCTAAATAACAAACCTGATTACTTGATAGAACTGAGCCATAAAAAGGGCTAAACCTCACTGACCCTTAAGTAAGGGAGCACAGGAGCCAGAGTAGAATAAGTAAATCCGTAGCCACAAGTGCAAGAGAAAGGTCATGGTATAAATCTAGGCCCTCCCGATAAGCCAACCCCAAGGCCAACAGAATCTTGAACAGGATGTTCCAGCTTTTCCATGGTTGAAAAGCTCATTTCTCCCATGTATTTCAAAAGTAAAAGACAGGGAGTCTTGAAGATATTCAGCTAAAGAAGCTGGTCCTAAAGTCAATCAATCAACTGTGTGTTCTCATTTTCTTCCTCCTTCCAACAGTGAAACAAAATGTCTTCCTTTCCTTCTTCAATTTTACTCACCTTCACTTGATATATAATTTTACTTTTCTTCAAAGTTGCTCAAAGATGAAAGGTAAAGAGAGAAAGGTTAAGAGAAAGATGGAAAGTAAACCTTGGGCAAAAAGAATCAATAAATGAGAAATCATTTTTTCCTCCCTCTTTTTCTCTTTCCTAAGAATCAACTTTATAAGGAATGTACTCTTTAGGAATGCCCTTTGAGGAAATTTAAAGAGGAACAGGTGGCTGCAGAAAATCAGTCTTTAAAGCTTTGCAGCTCTCTTTGGGTTCTGATAACTGGACACTTAATATTTTTGTACTTCCAGGTGGTCTGGACATAACATGGGAGACATCAAGGTGATGCCTCGATGTGACCCAGTCACCTTTGGAGGGCTCTGAATTCAATGGTTAAGTGTTATTGTGCACCTGAAAAAAGACACACTGACAGCCTGATCTCTTTATGATAAATTGACTTTTTTTTTTCTTTTTTAACTGGGGAACTGGGGGAAGGGAAGTGTTGGGGAATTGAGAAGGGGACCAGACATGTTGTTGTTCTTCAATCTTTGTTGTGGAGGTTGCCAGTCGCCATCTGGCTGCCCATCGGCAGCTCGTGGCCTCTAAGTCCAAGGTGCTGTGTTACAATCTTAGTTGCAGGTGGGTGTAGCCACCATCCCATGTGGGAGTCGAACTGGCAGACGTGTTGTTAAGAGCGTATGTTCTATCCACTGAGCCATCCGGATGACAGCTCAGCTCAAGGTGCCCCATTCAGTCATAGTTGCGGGTTGGCGTAGCCACCATTGAACAGGCGGTCTTGTTGTTAGGAGCATGTGCTCGCACCAGCTGAGCCTTCTTGCCACCTGTTGGCAGCTCAGCGGCAGAGTCACTGGCCCACGTGGGAATCGAACTGGCGGCCCTGTTGTTCAGAGCTCGGGTTCTTATGCTAACTCTTAACCAACTGAGCCACTCAGCTGGCCCAGATAAATTGAGATTCTAACAGAATAAAGCTGTGGCAGTTTCCCTGGAGGTGGGAGGACAACTGTGGTTGAAACGGAGCAACTTATCTTTTCTCTTGAGGTTCAATTTCAGAAAGAGATTTGTATTCCCAGAGAGCAAAAACTCATAGATTTTACCTTCTCTGCAATCACCATCATTTGGTAAAAAAATAATGTGTTCTTGTATGATCTGGGAAGCTGTCAACTTCATGGAACGAGTCGGCTATGTGTTCACTTATAAGAAAGTCCATAATGATGTTAAGCATGAAAATCTTCTGGAGGTAACTTCACGCCATAAAATTTAAGTCACCAAATTCTAAAAAATGTTTGCTCTATAGACTTTGCTTAAGGTGTATTTGATATATCGCATCAGTAAAGTGCATATGCATCTAGGATCTGTAAAGGAGGAAATCTCTTATGTGTATTAACAGCTCCCTTATGGTTGTTACGATTCTTATTTTACTGTGTTGACATCTATCGCCCTGGTGACCCTTTGTGAGCTGGATAGGAACCTATCCAGCATTCCACCTCAGTACTCTCTATATTCACTTGCCTGTGGTTGTGACCCAGACTGTCGTGACTGCCCAGTGGTAAAGAGGAACGGCTCTCTGACCACCTCCACCCCTGCTGTGGTGTCAGTGGAGAAAACAAGTGAGACCTGGACACGCACCTCCCCCCAGAACAAGGTAATGAAGCGCTCCCCGCTGTCCCTACAGAGGCAGCATCAGAAGGGGCCCAGAGGGAAGTTTAGACTTCGGCCATTACCCAGTGGTGACATGGCTCCCCTCCTCAACCACCCTTCTGCAGTGTCAGTGGAGACTGAGTGGGGAGCCTGGACTTTCACCACTGCCCAGTGATAATGAGGTGCCCCCCCACCCCCAGTGCTATCAGTGAAGGCCATGTGTAGAACATGGGCTTCTATTCTCATCTAACAGTAATGAGGCAACTCTTCCACTAATTGTGCTGTCAGTGCAGTACACGTGAGGATCCAGGACTTTCACCTCTTCCTGGCAGTATCAGGGCACCCCTCACCTCTTGGGTTACCAATGGAGGCTGAGTGGGGAACCCACTGGATTTCACTCCCCATTTGGCAGTAAAATGGCAGAGTTCCCCTTTCCCTGCTGGTGTGGTGTCAGAGGAAGTTTACTAAAGCAGAGGGTTTATATAAAATTGAGTTTTATGACATAATTTCCAAAATGTTCAGGCTACAACTGAACTCATCATACTAAGAACCAAGGATGTCATATTCTAAGAACCAAGGAAATCAGAGCTTGATTGAAAGGCAAATCAATAGATTACAACACTGAGATGACACAAATGTTGGGGGAATTAAACGACAAGGACTTTAAAGCAGCCATCATAGAAATGTTTCATCAAGCAATTACTAACACACTGGAAACTGATGAAAATTGAGAAGGCCTCAGAAAAGAAATAGAAGATATAAAGAAAAGCTAAATGGACATTTTGAACTGAAAAATACAATATCCAAAATAAAAGCTAACTCAATGGGCTGAATAGCAGAATAGAGGTGATGAAGGAAAAAAATCAGGGAACTTGAAGATAGGACAATAGAAATTACTGAATCTGAATAGACAGAAAAATAATAAATAAATTGGATTTCATCAAAATTAAAAAGACCTTGTTGAAAAGGATGAAAGATAAGCTGCAGACTAGGGAAAATATTTGCAAACCACATAGCTGACAAAGAACTTATATCTAGAATATATAAAGAACTCTCAAAACTTAACAGTAAAAAAAATTAACATCCCAATTAGAAAATGGACAAAACACCCAAACAAACATTTCATCAAAAAGGATATATGGATGTCAAATAAGCACATAAAAAGATATTCAACATTATTAAAACCATTATGCAAATTAAAAACACATTATATACCTATTAAAAGCAACTAAAATACAGTTACAATATCAAATGCTGATGAGGATGTATTTGATAGTCAACATTTGATATTGAAACTAGATCACTCATATATTGCTGGTAGGAATGTTAAATGGTACAGTCATCCTAGAATATAGTTTTGCAGTTTTTTAAAAAACTAAACATTACACTTACGATATGATCTAGCATTTGCACTCCTGGGCAATTATGTCAGAAAAATGAAAACTTACTGTCCACATAAAAACCTACAAACAAACATTCACAGCAGCTTTGTTTATAATAGATAAAAATTAGAAACAAACATGCATGTCCTTCAATGGGTGAATGGTTACAGTAGTACATTCATACCATGGAATACTATTTGTCCATAAAAAGAATGAACTATTGATACATGCAACAAAGTTGATGGATTTCAAGGGCATTATGATGAGTGAAAAAAGCTAATTTCAAAAGGTTACATACCATATAAAACATTCCGTTTATAAAATATCCTCCGAATGACACAATTAGAGAGATGGGGAACAGATGAGTGGTTACCAGAGGTTATGCATGAGGGGGTGGGAGGGAGGGGAAGAGTGTGACTATAAACTAGTGGCACAAAGGACATACTTGTGGTGATGGAGCAGTTGTACAACTGGGTTGTGGTGGTAGCTACATGAATCTATACATATGATAAAATTGCACAGAGCTATACACACACACATACTCAAGTGAATGAGCATTGGTGAAATATGAATCAGGTCTTTGAATTGTACCAGTGTCAATTGACTGGTTCTGATACTGCACTAAAGTTATGTAAGATGTTACCACTGGAGGAAATCGGGTGAAAGGTACAGGAGAGCTCTCTGTGCTATTTCTGCAACTTCCTATATATAGTAATACCTTGGTTTGCGAGCATAATTCATTCTGGAAATAAACTACGCATATTGCAAGACATCGCTCCTTTACCACGTTAAAATGTACTTGGTTTGCGAGCACAATTCGTTCCGGAAACAAACTACTCATATTCAAGACATCACTCGTTTACCAAGTTAAAATGTATTAGAAATGTTTGCTCGTCTTGCAGAACACTCGCAAACCACGTTACTCGCAATCCAAGGTTTTACTATATCTATAATTATTTCATAATAAAAATTTAAAAAGAAAAAGAGAAAGGTAAATGAAAAGGGTTGGAAAGCAGAGATTATCATACCTGAGCTGATGCAGCTCATGCTGCCAGGAGATGTTTTCCTGCCTGAGCTCTTCTTGAATAATCTGAAATGTTTTTGTCTTATCTTGATACTCCTGAAGTTGAGCCTTCAGTGGACGTAACTCAGTGTTCTCTTGGTTAATCTGTAAGTATTGCTGCTGCAGATTCTTCAATTCCTTCAGCTTTAACCAAGAAGAAGAAAAAAAAGGTGATTTGTCAAATCTCATTCACCCAGCTGTAAGTCATCAGCAGCTCCCTATGAAGCTAGACCCACAACAGACTACCGGCACCTAACAGTCCACTGACATATCACTGCAGCCTGAATCTCTAAAATGGGGAAAAACATACAACCAGGCTGGTCGGAATCACCCCACGGAGCTGCCATCAAGGCTGCAGGGTTTGACTATTCCTGCAACTGCTACCCCTGCCCCCTGCTCCCAACATCCTGTTGACTCTGAATCTACAAGTGACATGCGATAGATGTAAGGGACCTACAGCTTCTTTGTGGGTGGAAACTCCGAAGAACAAATAGTGTAAACACAGACTGGGTTCCTATGTAGCCATGTGCTTTGGTTAGGCTTCTAAACTTTCTTATATGGCAGGTGTCAGCCTTAACTGCAGCTTAGCTGATGCTCATTATAAAGAAGGGAGTGATGCCCAGGCCCAGTGGTGAAGGGCACTTCGGCTTTGGAGTCAGTTATCCTGCTACAGAGGTTGTATGTTCCCCACACCCTCTAAGCCTTAATTTCCCTCACCTATAAAATGAAGATAATCATAGCACCTCCCCTAAGATTATGAGAAATAAAAAATGAATGTGTTCCACACATTAAGTTAGTGATGATGATGATGATGATGATGATGATAGATTTGCCTTTAATTAGCAAAATTGCCTATCTACATTCCAGGTATATCTTCAAACTCTTTATCCCCAATACTCATTAAAAGCTTGGTAGTAAAAAAAATGTCAGGTCATCTGGGTAAAGGGGAGGGAGAGGCTTGAACACACTTCTCTTTCACCCACTCTGAAAACATCACTAAAACTACAATAAAGGCATTATTTTTTAAAGCATAAAATACAAGAACAGAAAGAACAAGAGAGAAGTCAGCAGCAACAAAATTAATTTTGGAAGCTGAAAAGCAGATGCATAAGTGGTAAATGACTTAACGGATGTGGGAAAGCCACATCTTAAGCTGGCAGTAGGGAAAGCCAAGGACCAACAGAACTTACTCGGCAGAATCTTCAAAAGTCTCAGGAATTAACAGCACCAGGTACCTCTGGAAAAGATGGTGATGGGGGTAGGGAGGAGGTGGTGGCTGAAATAAGGAGGATTAGATGAAAGCTGCTTAACAATTGCATCCCTAGATACTCTCCTCAGTTACACATTTTTTGTTACCCCAACAGACAACTAGAGTTTTAATCTCTGGAATAGGTAAAAGGTCTCTGGACTATGGGATACCAGGCACAGCTGAAGGTAAGGGTGCTGCTTTAAAGCAAGCGTGATCAAGTGAATGGATACTTTCTGAATGCTTGAAGCGTTTCCCCTACTCAGGGTGGAGAGTGCTGGCATACAGGCCTTGACCTTCCATGCCGGAAATGAGAAGTCTTCTCTAGAAAATCTGACCGGCCCACGAGCAACTAAAGACACCAACACAGGGACCACTCACAAAAAAGCTCAGCATGATCACACTGCAATGAAACTCAAAGTTGGTAAGCCCCACCCATAAGCTTTTTAGACCCTACCTTTAAACAGGAAGAGTAAACCAAGGATTAACCCTCTCCTGAAGAATGGCTAATATTAAGGCAGAGATGAAAAGAAACTAGAAGAGTAATTTGAAGATTAGCAGGAGGCAGGAAATGTAATATTCTCAAAGATTTAAGAGAGAACACTGGAAATTAGAAACACAAGAGCAGAAATATAGAATCATACAGAAAAAAAACTAATTATGAGAAAATTTCAAAGAACAAAACTACCACCACTATTCTTGGGAGAGACAAGAACATACATCTATGAGACAAGGAAAAAAAAGAAATCCTTAGGAATTAGAAACATGATAGTAAAAATGAAAACCTTTGTATAGGGTTCAAAAGATGAAAGTCAGAAAATCTCCCCAAAGTATAGCAAAAAGAATAGAAAAAGTAAGAAAATTATAGCGCTAATCCAGAAGGTCCTACATCTAAATATCAGGATAAAAAAAAAAAAAAGATAATTAAGAAAAAGAATGAGGGTGGGAGTGAAATGGTAAGACATATATCAAAAGATTTCCTGAATTTGATGGGTATGAATTCTTGGGTTCAAAGGCCTAAACAGAATTATGAATGAAAATACACTCAGGGCCGGCTGAGTGGCTCAATTGGTTAAGAGTTAGCTTAAGAGCGTGAGCTATGAGCAACAGGCCGCCAGTTCAATTCCCACATGGGCCAGTGACACTGCACCCGAGCTAAGCTGCTGCTGAGCTGCCAACAGATGGCAAGATGGCTCGGCTGGTGAGAGCACGTGTTCCTAACAAAACTGCCTGTTCGATGGTAGGCTACACCCACCCGCAACTAAGACTGAACTCAGTACCTTGAGATGAGCTGCCATCCGGATGGCTCAGTGGATAGAGCGTGTGCTCTTAACAACAAGGCTGCCGGTTCGACTCCTGCATGGGATGGTGGCGATGCCCACCCACAACTAAGACTGAACTCAGCAACTCGAGATGAGCTGCCACCTGGATGGCTCAGTGGATAGAGCATGTGCTCTTAACAACAAGACTGCTGGTTTGACTCCTGCATGAGATGGTGGCTATGCCCACCTGCAACTAAGATTGTAACACAGCACCTTTAAAGGCCACGGGCTGCTGATGGCAGCCAGATGGCGACTGGCACCCTCCACAATAAAGACAAGTTGGCTGGTCCTCCTCCCCAATTAAAAAAAAAAAAAGGAAGATAGACTCAAACCAAAGTACATTATCATGAAATTTCAGAGCACACTGACTAAAAGATTGTATATATTTCCAGAGAGACAAATAAGAGATGAGAGAGGGAGAAAGAGCTCACATACAAAAAATAAGGAACCAGTAGCTTTAGACTTCTAAACCACAATGTAAGCTAAAAGGCAATAGACCAGTGTCTTCACAATTTTGAAGGGAAATTATTTTCAGCCTAAAATTCTATACCCAGCCAAACTATCAATAAAATATGAGAGATGAATAGACATTTTCTTTTCTTTTCTTTTTTCTTAATTGGGGAACAGTGTGTTTTTCCAGGACCCATCAGCTCCAAGTAAAGTAGTTGTTTCAATCCAGTTGTGGAGGGTGCAGCTCAGTGGCCCATGTGGGGATTGAACTGGCAACCTTGGTGTTATGAACACTGTGCTCTAACCAACTGAGCTAACCAGCTGCCTGAAAAAGACATTTTCAATAAATTTACCTCCCACATATCTTTTCTTAGGGAGTTGCTAAATGATTTATTCCATCAAAATTATGGCACAAAACCAAGACAAGGGAGACAAGGAACTTAAGAAACAGAAGATCTAACAAAGGAGAAAGATGAAAGGATGAAAATTGTCCTAGGACTACAGGGCAACTGGTTCATATAAGAGCAAATCAGAGACTACGAGATAATTTTCTTCATGAAGATGAAACTGATAGGAATAAACATCTTGAGAGGAGATGTGGGAAAATGGCAATAAATCTCGGTTTAAATTACATTACTACAAAGAAAACTATAATAAGAAACAACAACAAAAATAGTTATTAACTCTAGGAAATACAAAGATGTTGAGGAAAAGTAACATATCTCAGCTCTAATACCATTTGTAGTCATAAAAATGTAAACACTGAATACTGATTTAACCAAAATTAAAATTAAATTACGTCAGGAAAATGTGGAAGATGTTGTATATTAAATGTGTGTATGTACTGTGGAAGCAGAGGGAGTAAAGACAACTAAACTCTGTTAGCATAAACTTAAATTGATAGCTAAGGCAAAGAATGAAAAGCCAAGATGCACCAAAAAATAAGCTAAAAGCAAACTGCCTCAGGAGAAATATGATTGGCGATGCTACTGTTTGTTTTTATTATTAAACACTGTAGAATTCAGTGACTCATTTATTTATATATATATATATAAAACTATTTTAACCTAAAAACTAAGATAAAAACGTTTTTAATTGAATGCAAAAATATATTCTTTATGTAATCCCCTCAACCCCTCCAGTCCAGATACCCTAAATGTTATCTTTGTAACAGATCAGATCAGAAAATGTAAAACATTTTTTATAGTAAGACACATTACTATATTTACTATGGAGAAGTAAATGATGTTTCACAACTTCATAGTATTCTCTCTATGGAAACAGAGAAGAAATTTTTTGGAGGCCTTAATACTTAAAAAGAATAATTATTCTTATCTTGAACTAGTAGTTTTTCTTTCTTCCTCTTTCCTAAAATATGGTCACTGTAATTCATGCACATAATTTTTTAATTCCCTATTTCTGATGGTTGCCAGAAAACTCAGAGCAATTAGTGGCCCACAGTTCTAAGAGTACAGGATAGTGTGACATCTCCTTGGGAGACTAAACTTACTCGGGGCTTCCCCTTTTTCTCTTTTATCCTCATTTTCTCTTCTCAGTTTTTTTTATTTTTTATATTATCTTGAAAAACTGTTCATATCTTAATATGCTACCTCAAGTCATTTTCAGAGTGAAATGAGTATAGATAAACAAATACAGGCACCTCTAGAGATTTGCTCTCTACTCCTCAGGCAGGAATTGTGTAAGTGCTTTACGTGCTTTTGGGAAAGTCCTAAGAAGTTTAGACAGATATGAAAACGTTATGCCCTAAAAGAATCCCCTGGGCTAAACCCTGCCACTTGGGCCCTCAGACTTATTTTGGGAAACTTCCCCTTGACTAACTATGTAAAGAAGAGAACCAAAGTAACCTAAGTCCCTTTCAGATTTAAATCACCTCTAGGGTGGTCATGAGGGGAAGGGAGAGTGGTGTTGGCAAAAGGTGATAAACTGCTGGCCTAGGCCGAATGTTTAAACTGATAGAGTTTGAAATACATCTCCCATATTTATCACACATGCAGCCCATGACTGAGAGACTAGAAACTTCAATGCACATGAGACAGACTGAGAACAAGACATGTGGAAAGAAGAGCTGATGGACAGATAACAATATGTTAGAAAGTATGCAGGACCTCAGCAGACTGCAGTGAACCATGTACATAGTACCACCAAGTCATACTGTCAGGCCTTCATGTGATTTATAACCCTGCCTAGGCTTTATAATTCTTTCATGGCAGATGTAAAAGCCTCAGGCTCAAAAGTTCCTGCAACTCCCCTACAGGACAACTTTACAAAACAGTGTTTTCAGTAATACCCTAAAATATAGCGAATGACAGCCAATTGTTGATTATCTACCTAATATGATTAACTAATTACCACTATGCTAAAGACCACAGGAAATACAAACAAGTATTAAGACATGACACTTATTACAAGGAGCTTGCAATCTAGTTGGGTTAATAATAAATAAGAGTATAGAAATTAAACACACATAGACACACACAATAAAGGCATTATGGGACAAATGAAAAGTACTAGGAAAGTACAAACAGAAGGTAATAGACAATTAAGTGATCTGAAAATGTAACCAGAGGATTTGACCTCTGGGGTGACTTTTAAAGAGTGGGAAATATTTGCCCCCAAGAGGAAAATTGAGAGGACATCTGGTTGACAGGATGATAATAGAGGTAAGTAAGAAGTACTAGATTGGATTATTGCATAATGAGTAGATCAGTTTGGCTGGAATGAAAAGTATAAGTAGCGGAGCAGTAATAGGGAAGGCTGAGAAAAAAAGCTAAGGACAAATTATAGGGTCTTAAATGCCAGACTAAGAGGTTTGAATCCTAAGCCTCATCTAGAGATAGTACAACTTTTAAAGTTTTTTGAGTAGTGCAGTAATAAGAAAGCCGTTTCAGAAAGATTTTTTTCAGCGGTGGTATATACAATGTACTGGAGAGGCGACAAACTGGGATCAATGATATTAGCACAGTTTATGGGTAAGATATTACAGACTTATCCTAAGATGTAGACGATGAAAAGGAAAAAGATATTTGAGGTACATTATGAATAAAAAAATGATAGACCTTGATGATTAAATGAAATAAAATCATACACATTTATAAGCCTTAGGAAACAGAAGAATATTACTATGAGTTATAGAAATATGGGAATTTTTAAAAAGCTGGCATGGCTTGTACATATCCAACAGACAAAAATGTGGAATTGGGGTTGAGAGATACAAAGTTTAGTCCCTAGTGTTTATAATAGATAAGAATAGTAAGGCAATTCACTGATTGAAACATAGTTAATTCAGGTTCTATCCTAATAGCCTCCAGGAAAAAGATTTTGATTTAGAAGATAATCAACACCTGAGTGCTTTAAATTACAGCTTTGAGGTATACACTGCCCTGATAAAAAACTTTTGCATTTACATTCTGAAAGTAATGACAAAAGATCAAGTTTCTAGAACAAAGTCAGCTAAACTCTAACTACTTTAAAAATATAAACAAATATACAAATTGTGTTGATGTCAAAGCCATAGCTGAAAGGAGGCGGGGTTGTTCAGAGTACAAAAGGCAAGATTGTCTACAAATATTGGATATTAAGTATAATATAAATGAACTCATTACCTGCAAAGGAAAAGAAAAGTTTGTATAGACTTTAGACTTTACAGTGAGGAGAAATGATCTTTTCACTAGGGCTAATCTTAAATAGTAGAATTTTCTGATTCTGGGCACCGGTCACTTTTTATAGTGGAAAAATCCAGCCTTCTGAAGCTCAATTAATTTATTTCCTACTTGGCCTAAGTACACGGGCTTGACAGAGTTAAGAGACTATCAAGAAAGTGAAGACAGCAATGTCACAAAACAGAATCCCCTGACAACCTGGCTTGGCTCATGTAGTTCCAATTTTGCCTCTGAATCTTGGTGACCTGGAAGTTTTCAGAGTAAGACCTGGATTAAACTACTAGTTCTTACTAACTGAAGCAAAATTTAGCATTGGAGGTCCTCCTTATCTTTCTCTGACTGAAAAATGTTGGGTATTTAAGTGGGTAAATGGCTCAGTATGCAAATAAAACTTTACTAAACAGTCATTTAAACTATTTAAATTAATCCTTCTTACATTTAACTTGTTTTGACAAATTAGGGTTGAGATGAGCTGAGTCCTCTCTACCACTAATTCTGAGATTATCTATTGCTGAATTGTCACTATAGGAAGGCAGGGAGTGATCCCTATACTTCCAGTTAAACTAAAACAAATTCTGGAAACATTACATGTGTGTTGTGTGTAAAAACATAAAATAGCTCTCTATTTCTTAGTTTCTTTTATAACCAATGGAGTTTTGTGCAGAGGAAATTTGTCATTTTTTTAAAAATGGTAATGGCAGCTTAAAAAAAAAATTTAAATAATGTTTCTGTGTTCCTCTAAGACCAAACAGAACCTGTGGGATATGAAATACTGTCCCTGAGTGCCCAGGTAATATATTTAATAATTTGTTTATCCTTTTCTATAGAACTAAAAATCAATTTAAATAAAGGTTCAAAAACTCTCAAGCGAAGATCAGAAAGAGAAAACTAGACACTCACTAGTCGGTCTCTGTCATTTTGGAGTGATGACATAGCTTTTTTTAAACTCTGTACTTCAGCTGGACTGGCTGCAGACTGGGCTGCAGACCTCTGCTTCCCTTCCTCTATCTTGCGGAATTTCTCCAGTTCATTCAACAGGTGATCTCTCTCACTCTGTAGACTGGCCATAGCCTTGGAAAAGGACTGCACTTGGTTGTAAGAATCTTCTAGCTGTGAAGACAAGTGAAGCAGTTGCTTATCTTTTGATAGAAGCTGCTGGTTAAGTTTCTCAAGGGGAGGCAAGCTGTTCTCCTCAGTGGAATTCACTGGAAAGGCAGCTTTAGAAACAAGAACCTCTCTCTCTCTCAAGGGGCCCTGTTCTTCTTTGAGCTGTGACAACTCCTTCAGACTGGCATCATATTTCCTTTTCAGTTCATCAAGCTCCTCATTGGCATGATCTCTACTATTTTGTAGGGAACTCATAGACCTTCCAAAAGACTGGATTTGTGCTGTGAGATCTTTATTTTCTTTGGTAACCATGAGTAATTTCTGCTCCATCTCCACCAGATCTCTTGCTAGCTCTGCCACCCTCTCTTCTGCTGTTTCCGTTTCATTTCGCATTATCCCTGCATCATGATGAAGATGCTTTAATTCTTTCTTCATTTTATCTTCAATCTCGCCTACTTTCTTCGCAGCTTCCATCTGAACATGAACCAATTCCTCTTCTAGTTCTGTCATTCTCTTTTGAGAGGAAGAAAGAGTAGTATTTAATCTCTGTACCTCTTCTTCTTTTACTTTTAATTGGGCCTGAAATAGTCCTAATGTACCTTCTTCTTGCAAGGCTGTCAACTGTCTCTTTAGTTGAGATACAGATACTTTCAAGCTCTCAATCTCTTTAGATAAACCTTGTTTCTCGTCCTGGAGGGCAGCAGAGGACCTCTGCATATCCTCCTTTGCTTCTTCAGACTCCTTCAGCTTTTCTTCCAATTTAGCACATTCATTTTTTAGCTCCTTATTCTGCTTAAGTTGAGCTTCAAGGAGTTGTTTTTGCTGACAGTCCTTTCTTGTTATCACTTGGTTCAGGTCTTCTCTATATTGGATCAGTTCTGCATCCAGCTTGGCATTCTCGGAATTAAGATCATCCATATGGCTTCTCAAGCATCGCATTTCTTCCTTAAGCCTATTATTCTCAGCAGCAGCCTCTTGGATGAGTTGGTCTTTTTCCAAGATTACAGAGAGATGTCTCTCTTCCAGCTGCTGGTAGTCACCTACTATGCGGTCTCGGTCATCCTGGAGAGAAGACATGGATTTAACGAAGGAATTCAACTGAGCCTTCTGCTGCATATTTTCCTTTTTGATAGATTTCAGTGTTTCTATGAGCCGACTGGTTTTGTCAACAGCCTTTTTGTTCTCTTCTAAGACAACATTCTCCTCTTCCTCCTGGGACAACAGGTTTTCCAGTTCCTTCATTTCTTTATCATGTTGCTGATGCAGTTCAGCAACAGCTACTTGGATTGCCTGTTCCTTGGCAGAGAGCAGGCTTATAATTTTCTGCTCTTTCATGTTTATTTCTTCATGCAGCCTACTGGTCAGTTCTCTGGAGGCCTGAAGATCAGTCTCTAGCTGTTCATAACTGAACTTACGATTTTGGATATCAGCCTCTTGCTGCTTTATGATCCCTTCCAAATGTTCTTTATTTTCCTTACTGTTTTCTAAACAGTTATTTAAATCAGTCAACTGGTCTCTGAGACTCTTAAGTTCTGATTCTAATTTAGCTAATTCATTCTGAGAATTATGGTATAGATGTTGAGTCTCTTCTAGCTGAGACAGAAGTTCTTTGTTTTCCCCCTGTAGAGTATCACAGGCCTTCTGTTGAAGCTGGACCTCTGTCTGGGCCTTGGACTCCCAAATCTGTTTGTCATGTTCAAGTCTAGAAAAAAAGAGAGGTCATACATTACAGATTCCAAGGAAAAACTACTTGATGCCTGCCTAAGAAACACATAGTACAACATGTACTCAGGTCTACAAGTGAATATTCATAATTAAAGGTGTTCATCTCTCTAATGAAGAGATATTAGTTGTACTGAATGCTCTGTATTAAAGGTATACTGCACCTATGATTCATTGAAATGAATCATTTAAATTATTTATTTAAATGATGAACTCCAAAGTATGTTGCTTATTTTACTGACATGGTTTTGGACACCCTTAGAAAGTATTACTTTCTCCTATTTTGCTTTACTTTGCTCCAGACAAGCTGGAGCAAAGTAAATGTTTGGCCCCTTAAAGGAACAATCTTGGTGTGAGAGACAATAAGGAAACCCATCTCAGAGCAGGGTACTAGTGTGGGGGACACTGTTAGTTCTTGAACTTGAAAAGTGATATAAAATTGAAGTGTGAGGAAAATAACTCTAACAGACATAGGCAGTATGAATTGATGTGGACTATGAGGAGAGAAAAAAGGCTATCATTTAGGAAGCTAAGAAAATGATTTGGGGGCACTGTGGTACAAATCCAGATAAGAGGAGTGGAAATGGAAATGAAAAGAGGGAGAAATCTGGATCTCTCAATTGAAAGATGGGAAGAGACAGATGTGAATTTTTCATGTTAATACAGTTGTAGCTGAAAGTCATCTGGGAAGGGGGGAGGAGGAGGATGGGAGGGGGAGGGGATGGGAAGAGAGAGATGACTGAATATATCTTCTAGGGGAATTTAAGCCAAAGTCAGTCCCATAATATTAAAAGAAACAGTGACCGTTTAAACAGAGACTTTCCTTGCTTCAACTACCTTTGGAAGAGCAAAAAAGTTATTACGCATTTACCTGGAAATCTTGATCTTCATTTCCTCCATATGGATGGACATCTGCCTAAGCTGATCCTTTAGAACACTGCAGTTCTCCTCTTTGAGTCTAGTTTCTTCTTCTTTGGTTTGAATGGCATCACTGAACTTCCTCTCCCATTTCTTGGCTTCATCCATCACCCTGTCCCGATCATCCTGGAGGGAAGACATGCTCTTCGTGAAAGCTGCAAGCTGGGCTACAGTGCTGTCCAGGTTTTCCTGAAGTTGCTTAACTTCCTTGTCTTTCTTGTTCAGAGTAATCTGAATCTCTCCAAAAGTCTCTTCCAAGTGACCTTTCTCTCTGCGTAAAGCATCCAGCTTCTCCTGCATATTCTTCTTCTCTTTCAGGTGTTTCTCTTCTACTTGCTCCAGTCTTCGCTCAAGATCTTCATCCTTTTGTTTCATTTGGCTTTTAACAGATTCTTTATTTGACTGAAGTTCCTTTTTCAACTTGAGATTGTCCGCTAGGACCCTTGCTGCTTCACTTTGGGTGTCGTCCAGCACTACTTTGAAGCTAGCTAATTCTGTTTCTGCCTTCTTGCGGTGTTCATTGGCTTGAGCCAGATTTTCTTTGGTTATCTCCAAATCTTTCTGGGACTCACTCTGAACAAATTCTAGGGCTTTAACAGTTCTCTCCAGAGCACTGATTTTCTCTTGGTACCTGATGCAGTCCTTCTGCAGCTGCTTTACTTCTTGTTGCTTTTCTTTTAACAGCTCCTGAAGTTCCTTTGCATGGCTCTTATTACTAGGTCCTTTCTGGGCACCTTGTATTTTCTCCATATATTCCTTTCGTATTTCTGTTTCCACCTGAGTTTTCTCCTTGACCAACTGCTGCTTTTCTTCTTCCAATTCACTCACACATTTTTTAAGGTTCTGCATTTCAGATTCCAGTCGCTCATTTTTTATTTGGGCATCTGTAACATCCTGATAATAATTCCCGATGCTTCCATTAAGTTCTGCTAATTGATTCATAAGCCTCTCTTCCAAATCATCTTTCTCTTCTTCGGCTGTCTCCTTGAGCTTGGTTACTCTGGCAAGTTCTTCTTGGGTTTGCTGATTTAATAGGTTTATTTTGGTTACTTCATCCTGAAGCATTTTTAGTTCACCATCCTTTGCTGATATTTGACTCAGTAAAGCATTTCTCTCATTTTCTAAAATCTGGCTCAATTCCTTTTCTTTCTGTTTCTCTTCTTCTAAGTCAGCAATTCTTTCTTTGAGCTGATCAATCTGCTGTAGATACTTATTAATTTCATCATTGGAGCTGACATTCTCACCTATATCAGGCTTGACACTGGTCTCTGGCAGAATGGATTCTGAACATTCACGCCTTGCACTCATACTCAAAGAGTCTTGCTTGTTAGCCTCATCTGGGGTAGGCTGTGCTGCCTCTTCAGTGACGTGCATTTGTTTATCATGTTTCTCAGTGGCCTCTAGGCTGGCTTGTTTGGACATGCCACCTTCTATCTCATGTTTTAAACTTTGAACTTCTTCACTTAGAGAGTCTTTTTCAGTCATTAAGGCTTCAAACACTTCAGAAAGGGTTTTATACTCTGTTTGGACCCTTTCCAGTTCCTCCTTCATGTTGGAATTGGAAGAAAGAAGTTCTTCCATACAGACTTTAGATGTGCCTTCTGCAGGGTGTACTTCCGCTCTAAGCCGGTCATTCTCTTCTTCCAGCTCTAGGATTTTCTGCTGTTTAGATTTAGCAAACTTTCTCATCTTTTCTTTCATTTCCTCCATTTCCTGTTGGGCTTCCTGCAACTGCTTTTCCACTTCTTTCTTGTTTGCTTCTGTGCTTCTTAGCTTGCCATACAGTTCTTGCTTCTCTTGCCTCACGGTTTCCACCACATGCTGAATCCTTTCTGCCTCATTACTAACATTCTCATAGGACTGCAGAAGAACTTCATACTCTTTTTGTAACTCTTTGTGTTTCTCTTGCCACTCAGTGCTCTCCGCAATCTTAGAACATTTCAAAGATTCAATTTCCTTCACTAACTTGTCTTTGTCTTCAGTAAGACCCTCCAGAGCCAATTTCAGACTTTCACAAGAACCAGTGAGACTCTGATTTTCCATTAAAGATCTGTCCACTTCTGTAATGAGTTTGTCTCTTTCTTCCTGAAGAAGAGCTAACTTGCCTAAGAACGTATCTTGCTCTTTATTTTGAGCAGAAACTTGCCTTTCCACATCTGCCAGAGATGTAGTGAGATGTTCAATGGTATCTCGGGCCAAAGACAACTCCTCTTGGAGACCTTTGTTTTCTTTTAGCACTTCTTTTCGGGAAATGAGGGCAGCCTGCAGTTTCCTCTGTATTTGTTGCTTTGCTTTATTTTCTTCTCCCATCTCTTCTGGTCTTTGCTTCATCTCACAAAGTTCCTCCTGTAACTGCTTTATCTTCTCATCCTGTTCTTTGGCCTGCATTTCCAGCTGTGTATGCAGAGCCTTAATTAAATCCTCTTGTTCTACCATCTCTGTTTGTACTTTAGTAAGCGCTTCTTCTTTCTTGCTAAGCTGTCCAGAAAGGTATCTAACTTCTTCTTCCTTTTTGCTTATGAGTTTTTGCAGTTCGTCTAGTTCAGGCTGTAAGTTTCTTAAATGTTTTAATCCAGCGATTTCTACTTGGCTGCTTTCCAATTTCTGCCTCAGGCTTTCTGCGCGGGCTTCGGCTTCTTGGGACGCTGCCTTCAGACTTTGGATTTCGAAACCCTGTTTATTTATCTGCTCTTGTAATTGAGATACCTCTTCTGATTTTTTAGTAAGCTCACTTATGGTAGAATTAACCCTCAATTCTAACTCCTCTTTCTCAGCCTCTATTTCTTTGAGCTGGGTCTTAATCTGGGCAATAGAAGTATTGCCCTGCAGAGCATGTGCGTCTCCAGAATGAGAAGCCCGGTCTAGGCACAAGTTAGACTCTGAAACAGGCTGGGCAGGTTGCTGCTCCGTGGCTTTGAGTAAAGGGTCTTCTAAACCTTGAGTGGCAGAGCCTCGTAACTGCTGCTCAGTGTCTAGAAGCTTTCTGTCTACAGGCTCCCGTATTTGAATCTGGAGTTGCCTTAGCTGGTCTCCAATGTTTTCATTTTCCTTGTTTTGCTCATCAAACTGTTCTTGCAAGCGATTATAGTCATCTTTCTGTTGCTTTAGCTCCTCCCTAAGATGTCTTTCTTTCTCCTGTGCCTTTTTTAGAATCACCTTGCGGGAGGTTACCACTTCCTGTAGCTTCTTTTGAAGTTGCTCCTTTTCTTTTTCAAGGTCCATTATCTTTTCTTCCAGCTCTGCTTTCCAGTGTTCTACAGCACCTGCATCAGGTGGGCTGCTCATCACTATTTCTTTTCCAGGTGCTGCGGCATCTCCACCACCTGCATCCTTATTACCTGTGGTTAACTTTTGGATAATTGCTTGGTTTTCAATGATTTCTGCTTGGAGCACATCTATTTGGTTTGCTTTCTCTTGCAAGTTCTGATTCATCTCTTTGAGCACAGCTTGTAACTCTTCTTCAGCTGCTGCCTTTTCTTCCAAATCCTTCCTTAAATGCTCTAGTTCCACTTCTTTCTCATATATTGTCTGTTTTAAAGAAATTTCTATTTCTTGGTATTTAGAAGTCACACATTTTTCTGAGTCTTCTTTACTTTCTTTATCTTCCTCCATTTCTCTCCTCTCACTCCCATTGATTGGAATCTCTTTTCCGGATTCGTCTTTCACTTTGGCCAATTCCTCTTCTAATTTACTGACTCTCTGTAGAAGTTCCTTTCTGTTAATAAGAGCTGCCTGGAGCTTTCTTTTTCTCTGCTCACTTTCTTTCTTTACAAGGTCCAATTCATGCTGAAGGTCTTTATTTATTAGCCCTGCCGAGCTCAATTCATCGTAAGTCTGTTTAAGGCCAGAAACAACTTCTTTATCTTCTTCTACTTGCTCTTTTTTTGCCTCTTCAGCTCTGGATAATACATTCAGCTGTTCTTTAAGAGTCTTAATTTCAACCCCAAGAGAAAACTTCTCTTCATTAAGCTGAACCATTTTCTCCGTCATACTTAAGCTGATTTCTGTCACTTGCTGATCCTTGTCCTCGACCGTTTGTTGAAGGGTTTCCACATCTTTCTTTTTCTCTAGTAAGAGTTGATCCATTTTTGCTATTTCCAGCTCCTTCTGTGAAAGAGTCTGTTTAAGCTCTTCCATCCTATTTGAGATATCCCTCACACGTTCTGCCCCCTCAAGCACTTCACTTTCCTTCTTCTGCAGCTGGTTTTGCAGGCTTTTCATCAGTGTACTCTGCTCAGAGAACTGAAGCTGCACACCATCCAGTTCATTCTGTAAAACTTCAATTTTCACATCTTTTGATTTGGCTTCTATGCTGAGACTGTGGATCTGTTCAGTAAGCAAGTTGTGTTGATTAGTCTGACTTTCATAGTCAAGCCTTCTTTGCCTTTCTGCTTCTGCAAGGTTCACTTTCAGTTGCTGTACCTGAGCCCTCAGTTCCGTTACTACACCAAGTTCCTTCACCTGAGAGAGAAGCTGGTCTCTTTCTTCAGACAAAGCAGCGAATGCACTGTTGGTGTCTTCAGCATTTTTCTTAAAATCTTCAATCTGCTGGGTTAGGCTGTTTATTTCCTTTGCTTTATCATCTAAATTTTTCTCATAGGTTTCTTCTGCTTTACGTAAGTTTATCTCAAGCTCCAAAATTTGACTTTTTAGCCTTTCCAATTCATCCTGGTGACACTGACAAATACCTGGTACAGCATAAGGGGGTTTATCAACATCATCCTGCTTTGCTAATTTCAATTCCATTCCAGTGTCACTTAAAGATATTTCCTCAGATGTTCTATTTTGATGTTCAGTGCTCATCTTCTCTTCTTTTTCAGTTGTTGGAAGACTGCTCTCTTCATTTGATATTGGAGGAAAATGCTGCCCTGTATCTTCATGCAATTTTTTCATCCTGACTGGAGGTATTCCTTCACCCTCTATCTGTTTCATTTCTTTGTCGTCAAGGACATCAGGGTCCCCCTCATCCCTTTTGCCCTGGAGCTGCAGCTTAAGAAATGCAATCTCCTCTTGAGCTTCTTTCATTTCCAACAATAAAACTGACAGTTCTTTATGTTTCTGAAAAAATGTATTCTCTAGAACATCTTGTCCACTTTCCTCAGCAGAAGAGCTGCTCTTGTTGAGCCTGGTAGTATCGACCATGCTGATCTGATTTTAAAATAAGAAAGAAAGACAAAGCCTCAATCAAATGTTTTATAAGACATAGCCAAACTAAAAACTGGTATTTTGTGCATTTTCCAAAATCTAAAACTTTTTAGTCCAAACCTCCTTCCTACCATAAAACTACTAAATACTTTTAAAATTGGTTTTTATTTTCCAAATTGGACCTCTGAGAGTGCCCTGTCAATTCTGCACTGAGGTCAAGCCATATTCATAAGACCTAAGGAAACCTGGAACTGTTTTCTAGACATTCCTTACTTGGAAAACTTTATTTCTTCAGATTAAAATACTTAACATGTTTGTCCCAAGAACTGCTTCAAAATTAAAAGAGAAGCAGGAAATGAATTAAACTTTTGTTTCATCCCATACCAAGGAGAAAGTTATGGGATTCATTCTTCTAAACTAGCCATTGAAATGAGAAATATTAGATAAGAGAGTCATTAACAGGCAAGTAGATTAACAAACAAGTACAATAAGTCCTCACAACGTCATGGATAGGTTCTTGGAACTGGGATGAGAGGACATATAAATAGAAATCATAGGCTAATCGATACAAACAAGCATTACATTCCTATAGCATCTCATCAACTATTATAAAGAAATGACTGTGTGAAACCACATTATTGGAGGACCTGCTGTAGACTGGGATATATTAACCAGGATCAGATAATCAAAAAGGAGTTCTGCTGGGGCCTGTGTATGAAACTATGGACTTGTTTGACAAAATACTAACCAAGTTACTATTACAAAGATTACTATGTTAAACTGCTCAATCCATACAAATTATTTCCATAATTGTTTTCTAGGGAAATAAAATCAATGAATCTCATAATAAATATAACAGTATTTCATTAAATGAGTTTGGGGACAGTGTATACAATGAAATCTCCATCTCTGCTAATAGCACCTTTTTTTTTTTCTCAGAAAAAAATTTCTAATTTGACAAAAGAAAAAAAAACAAAACCCATAGGATAGTCAAATAATGTAGTGGCCAAGAATATACGCTCTGTAGCCTGACTGCCTGAGTTTGTATCTTAGCTCTGCCATTTACTAGCAGAAGCTGGCACAGACTAAATATTCAATGAATATTAGCTATTATCATTACCAGGCCCTGCTGAGTAAGAAAAAAAAGAATCATTTTAGAATTATTTGTTATTTTAAGAAAAGTCATTTCATCAGTTTTTATAAGCATTATTTTATTTTTTGTGACACTACTCATTTATAACTCTTTACTCTCTGTGTTATTCATACTCATATATTTCTAGAGACCAAAACTGGAAACAGTCTTTAGCACAGGGAAAAAATTCCTTCATAATTTCTTCATGTCACATTGCTACTTATCTATCCCTATATACATGAAAGATCTGATACAGCCAAGGCTTCACTTTGCCAGAGACTTCTATGTAACTAACTCCTTTTTTGTTCTCTCTTATCACTAAGTATTATTTCCTCTTTTCTAACTATCAGTCATGCTACTTCACTCACTCCCTTCCTTTAGCCATGCCCTCTGCTGCTCCCCATGATATCTACAGAGTTTAATAACCTGTCAATGTCATCCCCCAAGGAGAGGGCAGAGAACCAGAGAACTTAGCTCCTTGTAGGCACTCTCATTATTCTTTTCTCTTCACGCTAGTCTACCTCTTTCAGCAGAGCTTACGCTTTCCATGAACCTTTCTTACTCACTCTTTCTTATACTAAAGGATTATCTTATTCACCCTTCCTTTTACAATCTGTGTGGTTTTCCACTTTCTTTTCTATTGTTCCCTGTTTACTTGTTCTCCCTTCTAGTTGTTTTGTTATTCTTTTTCTTAACAGATTTCCATATTTCTTATCTGTTTTTTTTTTTTTTGAGTTAAATTATCTTGTTCTCACTAGTCACTACAGCTAAGCATCTTAAAACATTAAGCACCCTCTTGGCCAAACAAGATTCATTTTTACTCTGTCAGTGTCCTTATAATGCTGTAATTTTCAAAATTTAGCTCCTTTTGACAATTTTGTGAACAGAGCATCCATGGCCCCATCAAAGGTATTGAATATAAGTGCGGTAGCTACTTTTGTTGTCAACTTGGCTAGACCACACTACCGACACTTGGTCAAACATTACTCTAGGTATTTCTGTGAAGGTATATTTTAGATGAGATTAACATTTACATCATAAACTTTGAGTAAAGGATATCATCCTCTATAATGTGGGTGGGCCTCATTCATTCAGTTGAAGGCCTTAATCAAATGAACGACCGACCTCCAAAATGAGGGAATTCTGCCAACAGATTGCCTTCGGACTTGATCAGCAATTCTTCCTTGGGTCTCCAGCTTGCTGGCCTACCCTGTATATTTTGAATTGCCAGCTTCCACAACTACATGAGCCAATTCCTTAAAATCTTACTCTATATGTGCATTTCCTATTAGTTCTGTGTCTCTGGAGAGCTCTAACAGAATAAGTAAGCAGATACTTTGTTAAGAATTTACATTATTTTTCAAGGTCATTTGTGACTCTATCACTGACTTCTTGGCTGGAAGAACATAGCCAATTAAACATAAGAAAGCTAATAATAATCTTATATATGCAGAATATTAAGGAACTACACATTTCTTATAGTAATTTTAAGGTTACAAAAAGCACTATTGTCCAAAAACACCCCATTTTAATATAATCCTAAGTGAAACTGCCAATTGATGGAAGAGAACTAGAGATTTTATCTTAAAAAAATCCAAATATTCAGAAACAAATGAGAATAAATGGATCTTAAATAGATCTCACCTTCTAGGTAATGTAATTCTATATCAACATTAGAAAGTTGCAGAAATGTTTAGTTTGAGGCTAACTCCTCAATCTAGTTCACATTCTGGTTATTTTAAGAACACATCACTTACCTCACTTATTTCTCTATCTGCCTCTCCAGTTCTATTCTGAGCCTCCAGGAGAGTAATCTTAGAAGATAATTTTTCTGAAAGTCACAAAATAAAGATCCTTAGAAGATATATGTAGACAGTTGGAAAAAACAGAGTCATGAGGCTGAGATGCATAAAATAAGAGGAAAGAATTAATACAAAAGAGTTTGGGGGAGATAAAAGGCTTTTTTTTTAATTAAAAAGAAATGTCAAAAGAAGATGTAAAATAAAATGGTACTATTAGGTGATGATAATTAACCTGAATTAATTGTTAAATAAATAGTGGAGGGCTTTAAAGTAGAAAGATACCAGAGCATGTGACAAGAAGCAGCTATTTTTGTTACATAATTTGGAACTTTTAGGGCAATAAATTTGCCCAAATTTATCCATAATCCTACTGTGTTCATAATACACACCTTGCATTAATATAGCACTTATAATGTCCTCAGTGTTCTTTCACATATGTGCATAAAGACATCAAACTTTAGCACTAGAAGGAGACTATCCAATTTTCTCAGTGACCATATGAAGAAACAAAGAAATGACATGACCTACAGCTAGTTCATGGAGAGCTGGGATCAGAATCCAGTCTTCTGAGTTCTAGCCCACGTTCTATTGTAATTCATATATCTAAATAGGGTAGTAGTATCTTGAAGGATAAAAATATTAGAAATTAATATTTACCCAAAGAGCTTATATTCTTTTTGAGAAGCTAAATCAAACAGTAAAGCAAAAATAAAGCATATTGTTTGCACCACATCAGTGTCTTTAACATGACCTACATGGGCCCTCATGATTTGGCCCTACTTATTTTCCAACCTCCTCTTCTTGCACTTCCCTTTTTTGTTCACTCTACTCCTAAAACACTGGCCTTCTTTCTGTCTGCAAACATATCGAAGTTTTTCATTACTCAGCGTATTTGTGCTGCTCATCCTCTGCTTGTAATGCTCTTTGCATGGCTGTCCCTTTTTCATCATTCCGTTTTCAAGTCTCAGAAAGGCCTACCTGACTACTCTACCGCTGCTTTCCTCTTCCCTCAGGCACACCTGCAGTAACCTTTTGATTTTTACCATAACACTTATCACTCTCTGAAATTTTCTTATTTATATACATGTTTATGGCCTATCTTCCCCCTAATATGTTCAGAACGGTATTCTTAGCAACTAGATTAGTGCCTGGCATATAGGATAGGCACCATAAAAATTGGCTGAATGAATGAACATTCATGAAACAAACAAATTCAAGACAGTATAGAACGTGTTCAGACACTTCACAAAATTATTTGAGCAATGGGTACAATGGTAGAAATGAAAATACAAAGGGTGAAGTTGAACAGAATACGACACAGAAACAAAGGTAACCCATAAGACCAAGCACTAAAACTAATACAAAAAACCTTAAGGCCAGTGATCTCTGCAGGGAAAAGCAAGGAGAACAGAACTCATGTTTGTAACACCTCTAAACGATAATGAGCTACATGACAGTGACAGGCGCTGTTTGCAAAACTGCAAAATAAGCGTCATGGACAAGGTCTCAAAGAAGTGCTTTCAGTGAGCTGAATAATGAGCCAGACTTGTGGTGTTCTTAATTTATTAGCAGTGGCAGGAAGAGTCTAAAAAAGGTATAACCCCTAGTTTAGAGCTAAGTGGAACTATAATATAAAATGGTTAAGGTGGAAATACTGGCTTTAGAGTTTAAAAAATAGTACAAACTTTACTCGGTACTCATTTTCATTCTTAGAAGATAAAGTGTATTAGTTAATTCAGGATAAAATGATCAGTAAAGCGTTATTAACAACACACCACTAAAACCATAAGGTCCTTGTGAAGCAGGTGATGCATGGAAGGAGGTATGTCTCCATTCTTACTAACCGTTCACAGACAGTCCAACAAAATAAAATGCTAAGATTAATTCAACACCACAATGAACATAGGGGTGCATATATTTTTTCGGATTAATGTCTTGGGATTTTTTGGATAAATACCTAAGAGTGGGATTGCTGGGTCGTAAGGTTGAATAATACTGTATGTCAACTATAATTATATATACATATAACCTCGGGACATGGAGTAGAGTGCGGGAACGGATTCAATGGAATTGTAATAGATAAGCATGATATTGGGGGTGGGAGGGCAATAGATGGGGGAGGGGGGTTGTTACTTTGTGAGGGTGAAAAGGGTAACTATTGCATTGTGCTGTACACCTGAAACTAACAATAAAAAAAACAAAAACTGGAAAAAAAAAAAGATTAATTCAACACAACAAAAGTTTATTTGGCAGCTACTATTTGCCAGGTACTATACTAGTTCTTGGTAAAAGCAAAGATGAAAAAAAAAAATGGCCCCTGTCCTTGAAGAGCTTATACTTTATTTTTGAAGAGCATATTGTATAAAATAAAAACACATAAGCAGATTATTTTAATATAATGTTAAAGGAATGCAAGGATGTTATAGAAGCACAAGAATGCATTTAATCCAACTATGGGGATCAGAGTCGATTTCCTGAAAAAAGACATACCCTAGCTGAAGCCTGAAAGATGAGTTAAGGATTAGCCATGCTAAAGGAAAGGGATAAGGTTCTAAGCAGTGTACAGCATGAGCAAAACCCAAAATGGTTTCTACCTTTGAGCCTTAATTTACACTGATCTCTATTACCCAATCTCAAAATTTATTACCGGGAATGTCCTTTTTTTTTTTTTTCTTTTCTTTTTTTGCCTATTTAAAAATTCATCATCTTATTAAGGTCCTATTCAAGCCATGCTTCCTAGAAAATTCCCTGACTCCTCCAAAATGAATATAATACAGACATTCTGCAGCATTTATAGCCCAGACTACAAAAAGATTATACTTATGTAAACACTGGTATTGTGCTTGAACTATTTAATGTGTATTAATCCTATCTTCGATAACTAGCAGCCAGCTACCTAAGTAAGATCTTTAAAATCAAACAATCAGAGAATCTACATGTTATACACATATAGTGATAAAGGTAGAGGCATTTGTGGGTTAAGGAGAATTATGGTTTTCATTTATACATACCATTCTCAGCTTTCAGTTCTTCCAGCTCTATAAAACTAAGGAGTAAGGCTCCCTTTTCATTCTCTAGCTCTATCACTCTCTTCTGCAAAAAGGCAATATTCTCCTCAGTGACTACCTAAATTGTAGAAAGACAACAAATTAATAATTCTCCAGTGAAAAATAATCATACTAATGCCAAGATAGCCCCCAGAATTTTTGTCTTCTAAAAGTTCTACAGCCATGAAAATACTTTAAAAATAGCATCTACTTATTTGCCTAGGTAATCTTTGAAGAAATGTTTTTTCTAGAAAGAGAAAATATTTCAAACTTCCAGTTTATTGGGTTTTGAATTTAAAACTGAAGCCTGTATTACAAAGACAGAAATTCTAACTCTACTGTATAAGAAAGAACATTTTCAGGTCCACAAGTAAGTAACATTATAAAATTAGATAAATGCCACCTGATAACAAGGTCACTCTCTTAAAGGAGACTGAACATAAAGAGAGGCTTTCAAAGGAGAACAGAGGCAAAAGTAATACGTACTCCTTAAGAAAGGGAGAAAAGCCATAATTGTTTTGCTTGTTCCAGGTTAGTAAAAATTATAGTGCTTCTTTTAAGCATACATATTGTTTGGCTTTCCTAATGACAGGCAAATATCAAATTATAACACATCTTTAGTTTTATGTCTTTTTTAATATTTTTCTTCTCCAAGGGGATTAATTCTATACAATTTTTCATAAGATTATAAAATTTTTGAGCCTTGAAGGTCTTTACAGCTCCCTCAGCCCCAAACCTTTTGATGTTTAAAGAAATGGCAAAGGATGAGTTTAAGGATTTTATGGCTTTTATCCTGCGGGAAGCTCCCCATTTGTATTATATAGGGCAAGTAAAACACAGAAAAGCTATAGGTCTTTCTGGCTTGAAGAATGAGAAGACAGACTTTGGGACAAACATAGCTGCCAGAATGTGAGGGGGGGGGAATCAAAGAGAGGAGAAAAAATTTCAGCAAGGGGAGCCCTGAATTCTACATATAATATTATGAACAATGAACTATGCATTTGCAGGGCTGCCCTGAAGCAATCCAGCTAAGGCAAAAATAATTCAACTGAGTTTTGAGTGGCTGCCTACCATAGGCCAGAGTATGTGATTTCAGTCTAAATTACTGGCTGAAAAAAAGTAATCAAAACTCTTCAGAGCTTAGAACTAACAGAAGAGAATCCTGAGAACAAAACACTCACAATATTCAGGATTTAACACAAAATCACTCATCACACAAAGAAATAAGGAAAGATGATGACCCATTCTCAAAAAAAAAAACCCCAAAACCAAAAACAATAAATAAATATAACCAATAGAGACCAAACACAAAATGATGCAGATTTTAGATTAGCAAACAATGATTTTGAAAGACGTTATTATAACTATGCTTGGGACATAAAAGAAAATATGCTTATGAGCGAAAACATAGAAAGTCTTAGTGGAGACTTCCATAAGAAGACAAAGGACAAGATGGACAGAAAAATTATTTGAAAAACTAATGGCCAAAATTTTCCTAAGAAACTCAACAAAAGCTAGGCAAGAAAATGATAAAGAAAACCACAACTAAGTACATCACAAACAAGGATAAAGAGGAAAGTCTTAGGTTAAAACTGTGGTCTGGGGCTTCTAACTTTTGTTAATATAATACATATAGCACCTAAAGAATAATAGTGCAAGGGTTTATACATTTTAAGTGGAGTGGTACAGTATTAACTCTATGAAGACTCAACGGTTAAGGATGTATATTATAAAAAAGATACATCATGCTAGCACCAAAGGAAAAATGGAGTAGTTATATTAATATCAGACAAAAGTACATCTCAGAGCAAAGAATGTCACCAGGGATAAAGTCATTTTATAATGATAAGTGGGTTACTTAATCAAGAAGACATAAAAATCCTAAATGTTAAAATGCCCAATAACATAGCTTGAAAATATATGCTGATGCAAAAACTGATAGAACTATAAGGGGAAATAGATAAACCTACAGCTATAAAGTAAAATTTCAGTACTTGTCTTAGTAATTGAGACAAGTAGACAGAAAAGCAGCAAGGATATAGTATATTTGAATAACACTATCAACCAACCTTACATGATGGACATTTATAGAACATTGCAGTTACAACAGCAGACTATACAATATTTTCAAGTATATAAGGAATGTTTACCAAAATAAGACAATATTCTTGGCCATAAGAAAAGTCTCAACCAATTCTAAAAGATTCAAGTCATATAAAATAGGTGCTCTGGACCACAATCAGAAAACACCTCTAGACATATCATCACGCCCAAATTATTTGGAAACTTAATAACCCAGGGGGCAAAGAGGAAATCAAAAGGGAAATCTGTACTTTGAACTGAGTGAAAATGAAAACACAACAGAATTTGTGAGATTCTGCTAACACATATTTTAGGGGGGGAAATTAACATGTATAGTAAAAAAAAAATGCTTATAGTATTATAAATAAGAAAGGTCTCAAACTAATGGCCTCAGGTTCCACCTTAAGAAGCTCAGAAGAAATCAAATCCAAAGTAAAGAGAAGAAAGAAAATAACAAAGATCAAAGTATAAATCAATAAAATAGAAAACAGGAAACAACAGAGAATCAATGAAGCCAAAGCTGGTTTTCTGAGATCAGCAAAGTTGGTAAACTGCTGGGCAATCTAACCTGTATAAGAAAGGAAAAACAACTTACCAATACTAAGAATGGGAGAGGTGACATCACTAGTCTACTGCTATTAAAAGGATCATAGGGTACTATTATAACTTTATGCCTATAAATTTGAGACTTTAGGTGAAATGGGCAAATTCCCTAAAAGATTTAAAATACCAAAGCTCACTCAAGAAGAAATAGCTAACATGAATAGCCATGTAGCTACTAAACAAATGAAAACTGTACAGAAAAATGCTCCCACAAAGAAAATTCCAGGATTAGAAGGCTTCACTGGTGAATTTTCACAAAACATTTCAGGAAAAAATAATACCAAGTATACACAAAATCTTTTAAAAAACTAAAAAGAAAGGAATACTTCCCAATTAATTCTAAAAGGTTAGCATTATTCATATAGCAAAACCAAAAAAAGATATTACAGAAAACTACAGGCATAAACATAAATGCAAAACTTTAAAACAAAATTTCAGCAAATTGAATCCAACCAAATAGAAAGACAATGTATCATTACCAGGTGAGGTTTACTCCTGTAACTCTCATACACTGTTGGTGGAAATGTAAACTAATAACCACTTTGGAAAACAATCTGGTGGTGTCTTAAAACCTCCCAAATACTTCCCGCATGATCCAGGCATTCCACTTCTAGGTATTACTGAGAATAAAGAAAGCATAGATCCGAACAAAGATTTCTAAAGAATATTCATAGAAGCTTTATTTGTAATAGTCCCAAACTGTCAACAACCCAAATTTGTCCAGCAAGTAAATGGATAAACAAATTGTGGTATGTACAATTGCCTTAACAACACAAAGGAATGAATTATTGCTACATACAACAAGAGGATGAGTCTCAAAGTAAGGATGCTGAACAAAAAAAGCCGGGGGGGGGGGGGGGGGGGGGACGGGAAGAGTATATACAATTTATATAAAATCCTAAAAAAGACATACTAATCTATAATGACAAAAAGAAGATCCATTATTGCCTGGGTGGAAGAGATGTGAGGGAGAAACTAAAATGGGGCATGAGAAAACTACTGAGGATGATGAATATGTTCACTTTATTTATATTGGTGATAGTTTCATGCATATGTCAAAATTTATTAAATTGCATACTTTAAAAGTGTGCAGGGCCGGCCGAGTGGCGCGATGGTTAAGAACTGGCTTGGGATGCCAGAGGGCCCCGGTTCGGATCCCACATATGAGGGCCAGTGACACTGCCCTCTACAGCTAAGATGCTGAACAACAGCTCAACCTGGAGCTGGGCTGCCATGATTCGCCGGCGACCGCATAGGCTACAGCCCCTGTGGCAGTGGATTGGCATGGGCTACCGTGTGTAGCCAGCAGCCAGCGTGAGCGGCCGGCAGCCGCAGTGAGCGGCCATCCAGAAGCCAGCAACTGATCTGCCTCGCCCGGGAAGAGCGCAATGATGGTTCCAACTTGGGCCAGTGAAGCAACGTCCTCCACAACTAGACTGAAGAACAAAAGGACAGCAACTTGTCGTTCCCCTTCCCCCAATTCCCCAGCGCTGTTCCCATCCCCCAATTCCCCAATAAAAATCTTAAAAAAAAAAGTGTGCAGATTATTGTATGTCAATTATACCTCTAATCAAACTGTTTAAAAGGAAAATAAGTCACTAGATAAGTGAAAATAAAATTCAAAAAAACTACAAATTATCAAGTAGAAAGGAAGATATAACAGAAAGAAAAAAAAAAACCAAGAAAACAAAAATTGTAGACCTAAATCCAATCATATCACTAATTACATTAAATGGACTACAATTACAAAGTAGAGATTATGAGAAGAAATAAAAAAGAATAACCTAACTATATGCTACCTTTCAGGCATTCATTTTAAGTAAAAAGATAAGTTAAAAGTAAAGGATAGAAAAGAATATACCATGCAAACAGTAAACATAAGAAGACTAGAGTTCTTTTATTAATATCAGATACAACAGAACTTCAAGTAGAGAAATAGTACTACAGATAGAATATCTCATCAGAAGATATGTGTTTGTACTTAATACCAGATTCATATTACAAAGAAGCAGAAAGTGACAGTTAAAAGGAAAAATGGACAATTTCACAATCAGTTGAAGATTTTAATTGCTTCTAGCAACTGTTTCAACAACTATACAAAAATCAGTCAAAACAAAGATAATCTGAATAATCTGATAATCTGAAGATATCTATACTCTCAGTGATATTTGTAGAACATTACAACCAATAACTATAGAATATACATTCTTTATAAGTGCACAAGCTATGTTCACTAAGGCAGATCACATGCTGTGTCTTCAAAAGACTGACATCTTATAAAGCATATTATCTTACTGCAATGAAATTAAAAATTAATAATAGTAAGCTATCCAGAAACAAAACCTAATATACAGATATAAAACAACACACTTCTAAATAATACATGGTCAAAGA